TTATCTAATCTACAATGAAGTCTACATATGTCTGTGTGAACCAGTGTGAGCGAAATGGGAGGAAAGGGGTGTAGACTAACATTAGGGATCTTTAAAAGGGTAAATACATGCTTGAAAAACCTTATTCTCCTTTTGACAGTGGGCCTACTTTGACCATAATAATTATCCATGCCAGCTATTGTGAAACAGTTTATACTACATGTGACAAGCACAGTTTTTGGTTTTGTTTCTGGCTTTGCTTTTAAATGCAAGGTCCCATAATTTATAACAATAGCTAGAACATTTGGAATTAAAACCACTGGATAACGTCAACCGTCTCCAATTTCTGCATGAAGGACACTGATTTCCAGTAAGGGATTAGCCTACTGCTCATTCCTTCCTGTCTTCCTGGATCGCCCCTCATCCCTACGTTCCTCTTTTTTTCTTTAGCACTCACTTAGAGCTAACCACTTGAGATCATACTCAGTAAGATTTGCTCTACACTAATAAGAGGGGATGAATACCCAAAACAAGATTAGCCATGCAGTGATACTGAACATGGGTAATAGGTATATTACACTATGTTCTCCCTACTTCTGTGCTTGTTTGGAAATGTCCATCAGAAAAAGCTGTGTTTTGGGCTTCCCTGGTGACGCAGTGGTTGGGGGTCCGCCTGCCGATGCAGGGGACGCCGGGTCGTGCCCCGGTCCGGGAAGATCGCACTTGCCGCGGAGCGGCTGGGCCCGTGAGCCACGGCCGCGGAGCCTGCGCGTCCAGAGCCTGTGCTCCGCAACGGGAGAGGCCACAACAGTGAGAGGCCCGCGTACCGCAAAAAAAAAAAAAAAAAAAAGCTGTGTTTCTTTAACTATACTCCAGTGAAAAGAGTGAGTTTATGGAACTCAGCTACCACATTGCCCATCCCAGTACATCTTCCCTAGCATCTCACAGGAAGACGATACTATTATTTAAAAAAAGAAGCTCACCTCTTTACGTGTGCTCTGGATCCCATCAAGTCACGTCTCCTGAGAGATCTTGCCTCTAAGGCATCCTTTCTCACTCCCGCATCTTTGACCTCATCCCCAGCTGACTCCTATCGGTCTACTTTACACACTCACGCTTCCCCAGCTTAATAAAGGACTTCCCTTGACAAGCAGATCTTTAGTAACTCTACATGAAAATGAACATGTTTATATTTTTTAAATCCATATAAACTAAAAATTGGCTTTTAGAAACTAAGTTAAAAGAGGTGTTTCTTGGGACTTCCGTGGCAGTCTGGTGGTTAGGACTCTGCGCTTCCACTGCAGCGAGTGTGGGCTGGATCCGTGGTCAGGAAACTAAGACCCCGCATACAGCACAGTGCGGCCAAAAAAAAGGGTTTTTTTTTTTACTTAAAATAGCAATTGCGCATCTCAGCATCATGCGTTAGAAATACTACACAATACAAAAAGGTTTGCACTTTTTCAACTAATCTAGTAGTATTAACATCAGAGAATGTTTAGGTTGGAAGGGAAACCACATTTCTTCCAGATTCTCATTGGAACAGGTGAAGAGGTAGGGGTCCCCTATGATACACACAACGTTGCTTAGCTCCACCCAGCTGCTTACCCTCTGAGCTAACATGAAGACCCCAATCTCTCGGCTACTGCTCTTCTGTCATAAGGTCCTGGAGGCCTTCTTTAGTATGATCAATTCAGATTCAAAGTACAGTGAAATTGTAGGGAGAAACTCCTTTCCACAGCTTTTGGATTTTGTATTACATACACTAAAGTTAACTGTCTTTCTACCAATTAATGAAAATAAAAAGAAAGTCTTAAGCCCCTCACTAGCAGACCAGAGGTCTTTTGGGGGAAGGGTGTGTCAAAGGAGGAAGGCTGTCGTGGAGTATGTATCAAGAACCAAGAGTCCCACTGCAGGAGGCCATCAGCTTCACGCAGGATGTGAAGTGCAGCAGAAAGTGCACAGGCTTTGAAATCACACTGAAGTTCAAATCCCTGCGTAGCAACTACCTGTTGCTATTACTGGATCGCAGTTGCCTCGTCCATAAAATGAGACAACAACCAGGACTGCCTCACAGATTTCCAAATCAAAGAGCGTGGCATGAAGCAGGTGCGCCATTAAGAGTAAGGTACTGACACCACCCAAGAGACCACCTAGGGGATGCTCAGGCCAAACGGAGCAGTAAAGGCTGGTGCGGGTGACCGCAAGTAGCCTGAACCTCAGAGAGCCCTAGGCACAGCCCCTCTGCTCTCCTCATTCGCCCTGTGCAAGGCCAGCTCCGGGTTCTCCGCGGAGCCGCTGACTCAGGGGAAACTGGGAGCGGCGTGGCCACAGGGAAACATATTATTTTCCTCTTTGACCGGAGGCCCGAAAACCGACGAGACTGAAATGGCTGCCTTAACAGCAGCAGCAGCAGCCCCGGAGGCAGGAGTGGAGGACCACACTTCCAACTTGGCCAGCCTCTCCGGGATTGACTTCTAGCTCTCAGCCGGCACAGAGTGCTGAGTCACGGCGAGGCGGCGCTGTGCGCGGGGGCCGGACCCGCGCAGTCACGTGTCGGGGGCTGGACCACAACAACGGCTCGGCGTGCAGCGCCGGCGGCAGCGCCGCTTCCTCGCGCGACCCGCCGGCTCTCCGAGCATGCTCAGAGCGGAGCCCGCTCCCCGCCCCCCGGCTCCGCCGCCCGGATTTTCCGGGCGGCCCTGGGGGCGGAGCTTGCGGCCTCCCTGGATGCCCAGAGCGCAGGTTACGGTGTTCGTACAGTTGCTGGGTTCAGTCCCAGCGGGTCTAGCTGTTTTCTGCAGGAGAACTGTCCGGGAATCCACCTTTGGTCAAGGCTGATTCTGCGCGATATGCGCGCCTTCTTTTCGCTTTAGCCATCATTAAGGCCTTAAACGTTCTGTGCGGGGCTGTCTGCAGAAAACCCTCTCCCACAAGTCGAAACCCAGTCTTGGGTGCAATCTACAGAATGAAATCGAGAAGTAAACCAAAGAAAATGCAAAACACTGTCAAATAGAGGGGAATGACTTGTTAAATATGACGTCTATTGATCTGTAGTTGTTTTTTCCCCTTGTAACAGCGATTACAAGTCACCCTGGAGGACAATTAATTTAAGTAATATAACATATCCAAAATACTAGTATAGAAACATGTAATCAATATAAAATTACTAATGAGATATTTACATTCTTTGTGTGTGTGTACTAAGTCTTTGAATCTGGTGTGTGTATTACACTCAGCTCATTTCCAGTCCAATAAATTTTCTTTGGAAATACTTGATCCGTATTTAGATTTCATAAAATTTACAGATGAAAAAGTGGATTTCACATTCCCAATCTGTTCCAAATTTACTTAGAAACTTTCCAGTAGCCAAATGGAACATCAATTTTACAATTTCTATTTTAGTGGATTAAAACAAAAGTAAAATTCACTTTCTCAAATTAGCCACATTTCAAATGGTCAGCCACATGTGACTGATGGCTATTGTATTGAACAATGCCAGGGTATGCAGATGTGAGATGAGATTATGAGAATTACAAAATGATCCTTTGGATGCCTCACCTGGACGTGAAACAGTGACCAATACTATCCCTCCCTCCCCACCTCCACAATGCCTCTTTCCATTTATACCAAGCACTTTTCTAGAGTTAAAGATACAAAAGGCATGAATCATCTCTATCCCAGAGGAAGTCACTACCTAGTGTGGAAATATTTTTTAAATGATTCTATCATAACGTAGAAATAGTGACATGTACAAGTGCAACCAAAAGACAGAGAGGAGTAACTGGGACTCAAAGAATGAGCAGGATTGTGTCAGGTGAAGAATTCCAAGCAGCAGAAAGCCAGGACCACACAGGTCTAGTGAGGTTGGTGGGGAGGGTACAAGGAAGAGGGGGCTGTGGACAAAGTAGAGTGAGGCTTGGTTTTTATCCTGGCTGTTGAAACAGATGATTGAAACCTCATCTACTGAGCTTCAAACCCCCTCACATCCCCACCCACACTCCAGACACATACACATACAACCCTGTGGACATTACAGCCAGACCTTGGGTATCCATGTCCCCAAGCCCTGAGATGGGCACAGCCAATATGAAGGGTGTGGGAGAAGAGAATTCTACGATCATGTACCCATTTGTCAGTCATTAAGTGGTCACTAAATGTTAACTTTGTGGTGTGAGGGAAAAGGGCACAGTAAGTACACACTTTCTGGTCTCAGTACACATATGATCTATTTGCTTTCACTTTTCCCCTGATCTGTCATCTCATTGCTCTTTTGACACATTTTTTGAACAACTACTTGGGGGCGAGGTACCTCGTTCCTTCCCTTTCCCACCAGGATAAGGCCAACCCCAGCTGTTTCTAAAACCTTCCACCCCGTGGTAAGCTCACATGAGCATCATTTTAATCACTCGATGGTTGAATCCTAGGTTTGGATGGGGGATATACTTTGGAGATGATTCCTTCTAACGATCCTTATGGAAATGTTGAGAAAGCTCCTTTGGTTGCAGTGAATGGTGTCTGTGCCATCCAAAGAACATATGTCATCAAATAAATAGTTAGAGACTACACAAATACTTATAATATGTACACGTCTAAAAACCTGTAGACAAATTTTCTTGCCACACCCTGCTGCTCTCACCCTAGTTTTATAAGTGTGAGGCGCTTCTCTCCATAAAAAATAATATGGTGGATTCTTCATTAATTCGAATAATCAAACTTCTTCCCCAATGCAGAGTTTCTCTCTTTGGATTAGAGAAAACGGATTTTTACACATCGCGTTTGCTTAAAGCGAGGCCGACCCCGGCCTGGTGAGCCCCTCCCCTTGGACTCCGCCCTAACCACGCCTACGCACGCCTACCCCACAGCCTCTGAGTCTCTGCGGGTGCTCGGCCACGCCTCCTCGGCCGCACCGCCTCCTTTCCCCGCCCCAGCCCGCAGTCTATAAAATCCGGAGCGGCGGATCGAGCTGGGGAGCGGCGAGCGGTTGGGAGTACTGGGCATGCTCAGGGGCGCAGGTTTTGGTCACAAGTAGGAAGGAGGTAGTGCAGGACACCGGCAAAGAGAAGCGGGAGGCACTGCCGCGCCGGGGCTGTGGGGGCCGCCGCCGCCGCCTCGCAGCAGGAACGAGGCGGGAGCCGGAGCGGGCGAGGGGCCAGGCCGTCGGGCAGAGGGCCGCCCAGCCCGCCCCCCGGTCCGCAGCCTCCGTCCGCGCGGTACACCCGACCCCTGGGTCGGTCCCCCGGGCGGCGAGGAACTCGCGCGGGGGAGCCGGAGCGGACCGGACCCTCCCTCCGCCGGCTGCAGCCCGAGGGCGCCCCCTCGGGGCTGAGCCGCCGCCGCCTTCCGCGGGCAGCTGAGTGTCCGGCCCGCGTCGCGCGCCGGGAGCCCGGAGCGGCCGCCGCCGGCCCAGAGGGCGAGGAGAGGGGGCGGCCATGGGGCTACTGTCCCAGGGCTCGCCACTGAGCTGGGAGGAGACCCAGCGCCACGCCGACCACGTGCGGCTGCACGGGATCCTCCAGTTCCTGCACATCTACCACGCCGTCAAGGACCGGCACAAGGACGTGCTCAAGTGGGGCGACGAGGTGAGCGCCCAGCCCCCGCCGCCCCGCGCCCCTTTGTTCGGCGAGGCCCCTGCGCCCTCGGTCCGCGCCCTGTGCTACCCTGAGGGTCCCCGCCGCGCCCCCGAGGGTCCCCGCCAAGCCCGCGGGCGTCCAGCGCTGTCCAGGGCCGTGCTCCGTGCCTTTGGCCGGACTTCTCTCTCCCATTCATTCATTCGGGGTTCGTTTCCATTCAGCAAGTGCGGAGTAGTCGCTGGGAGGGCGTGAGCGTGCAAAAGTGTGACACTGGGTGCCTGGAGGAGTTTTCAGGCTGGGGTGTCTGCCCGCCACCTATCGACCCACGGTCCCGTCTCAAAATGACATTAACGTGAAAGGGACTAAAGTTGTCCCAGAAGGCCGGTTGCTGTTAGGAATCAGGTCTTCAGGATTTCGCTTCCGCCCCACCTCATCCTGGTACCTTTTAAACTTCCAGCTTCTCCTCATCAACCACCCCCCGACCACCAATTTATAGATATAAATTAAAACAAACTATGGCTTGGTTTAATTCTAAATGGGAACTTTGAGAGCTTCAAAATTAGGATTTGTTAGTGCCTTTCCATGGCCCAGATCTAGTATGTAAACTTTCCGAATCTGTGCTTCCACATGTGTGCTGCTTCAAGGTGAAATGCCTCTAGATTCTCAATATTGAACCATTGTTTATTGGAATGATTTGGAAAGCACTGCCTCCTGTTAGTTTTAAAGTCTTTTCTGCCAAAGCGTTTTATGCCTTCCCTTCCTGTTTTTTTTTTTAAAAAAAAAACGTGTATATACAGTTCAAATAATCAGATGACTTCTGGAAAGGTTCGTTTATATTTTTCGTGTTTTTACCTTTTGCCTTCCATGGCTTGCTCAGGTGTAAATAATTTATCTCCTTGTCAGTGTTATCACTCTTTACCTAAGTGTCAAGGTGCTGCTACACCAGTGCCGAATCTCTCTCCTTGCAAAAAGTTAGTTTTTCTATGATTGGAAAATACTTCTGCCTGTCAGTTGAAGGAATTGTGCTTTTGTAAGCTAGAAAAGTATCATGACTAGTAATTCACATTTCTACCATAAGTGCTTTGCCATACTTTAGTGGACAGAAGAGGGGTACAGTATGTTTGGTGATGATTCTTCAGTTTTAGACTAAAGCTCTTTTTTTTTTTTTTTTACAGCATCTGACATTTTATATATTCATTTGTGTATTGTGTTTATTTTATGATCTATCCTCTGTTCCCTTTAATTTTTTTTTTCTCTCCCACACCTCCCTTTCCTTTTTTTCCACTAACAAACCCATGTCCTTTGGAATGAGGAGTTTACTGTTTAACAGAAACCATGGAGTAGAAAAGTTATCTTAGATTTAAAAAATAACCCGCTGATTATTTATTATTACTTTAAATTCTGCTTCAGCCATGTCTGGGTAGAGTGTAAGATTTTCAAAAAGAATAAAATTCCTGCCTGCCAGTATTGACAGTCCTCTTGGAAATAAGCAGCATGACCCAAGGGGAAGAATTGAGATTGTGAAGACTTCCCAGGTGGTTAAGAAAAAAGCCCCACTCTTCCTACTCCTGGAATAGCACTTCATTGAAACCTTGGTCTCCCCCAGTTTGATTCTGTAAGTCAAACAGGGGCTAACTCTCTGTTGTGGTACCTCTGCATCTCTGGACAGAGATGTGACTTGGGCGGGTGGGGGGGGGGGGTCTCACACCTAAGCATTTGCTGATGCTTCTGTTCCTCTAGCATCATGTAAAGGTAATCACTCTTATGTTACAGAAAATTACTTTTCAAACTGGAGATCATGATCCATTAGTGGGTTGAGAAATAAATTTAGAAGATTTTAGAAGTCTGAAATTTGTTGTTTCTTTACAGCATCTGACATTATGACTCTTGAAAAACTAGAGTCTGAACTGCTCAGGTTTACTTATATGAGGTTTTTTTGTCGGATAGTGAATACAGCCTGATCCACGGTTGGCTGAATCCACAGATGCTGAATGGAAGGCCAACTATGGGACTTGAGCCTCTGCGGATTTTGGTCTCTGGCGGGTCCTGGCACCAGTCCCTCGTGGGTACTGAGGGACTACTGTGTATTATTTGTGTATTGTGTGTATTTTATGATCTCTCCTCTCCTCCTAGATTTTTTTCTCTCTGAGACTTTAAAAATGGAAATGGGGTAGGATGAAGAGTATTGGTTTATCACACATAGTGAGAATATTATGTCAAACTTGAATTATTTGAGAGTGTGTGTAGGGGTGGTATATTAGGTGCATGTAAATTATTTTTTACTGTGGTTGCAGTTACGGGGTTTGAAAGTCAGAGTCCAGCATTTATCATGGCAGGCCTCCCTGATGAGGTGAGCCTCTGAGAAAGAGCAGGCCGTTAAACCGTTAGCATTGATCCTTGCGCATAGTGGGAACTCCCTGTCACATCTACTGAGTAAAAGTCTGCAGGCAGGATCAGCCTGCAAGTGAGCTTGTTTGGATGCAGAAGCCTAGGAAACAACCAAGAATCAGGCTGGGCCGATAAAAGTGGAGAAGGGTGTGGTGGGTGCCGTGGCCCTGGAGATGAAGGATGGCCCCACCAGACAGAAAGGGGTGTTTGGGACGTGATATGTTGGGCTGGGTCAGCGTGATACCAAAATACTGCTCTTTGTGGAAGTTTTGATGTTGCGCTTACAGGACCATGGACTCGGATTAAAAAAGGAAAAAAAGCAGCCTAAACCCATCATTGTAGATCTGGTTGGAAGGAGAGCCTGCCACTTTGGAAATGCTTGGCACTAGGACAGTATTTGTCTCTGGTGGTATTTATCAGGAAGAGCTTGGATTTGAAGTTGCACTTGTGTTGTATTCCAAGGCTTGCCAACCACCTTGGTGGTTGTGAACCTCAGTTTCCTCCTTTGGAAAATGAGAGGGTTGTTCCTCTTTGAAACTCGCCTGGGATCATCTTTAGACTGCTGAGTGAAGAGAAGGCTGCCACCAGTCACTGTGGTAAAAATGGTTGTATTGTACAAGTGTGTGTCTGCTGGCTTTTTGGAATTCAGAAGTATTTTCCTGTGAGAACCTTAGAAACAGGCAGATTCCCAGGTCAGCTTACAAATGCGAGTTTCACCTTTAGTGTGGCTGGTCCCACTGATCATGCTGTTACTGTGGGTAATCGAAGTTCTAACTCCCAGGTACTGGTAAGATATTTCATGCTGCCCCAGATGGGGGTGAGGGGGGAGGTGAGATGGGTGTTCCTGGGGGCCCTGATGCCTGCTAAGCGCTCTTTTATGCAAAAGAGTAAGCACTTCTCTCTTCACAGCCCACACACAACTTTTTAGGTACAGATTTTGTAAGTTGGAGTATGCACATTAAAAGACAAACCTAGGAAGTTTATGAACACTGCAAATGTGGCAGTAAATTCGACTCTTGAATGCTTCCTAATATCCCTCTAGTGTCAGCTACCTGCCAGGCTCTTCAGCTACTTAGTGACAGAGGCATTATCAGAATTGAAATCTGTCTGACTCCACGGTCCACTTCTTAAATACATTACACCAGGTTTTGGAATATTTACAATGTATGAGTTTTCATCAAATCTCTTTACAGAGTTCAAACTCTCCAGGTTACAGAGATGTCAGAAAAACATTTTAAAGGAAACATTTCTTCTGATTTTTCTTTTTTGCCTTTCAAAGGCAAGAAGGTCAATTGTGCTCTAATTAGCAGATAAATCTATGAGAACTTTGAGAGAAATATACATCTTTAATATTTATAAGTGCGTTATTATCATGTGTAAAACCAATAAGAACTGAGATGGGATTTATAAAGGGCTGGCATATCATTCATAGTTTGAACTTCAAATTACCTATGTAGGTTAAGAATGCTTACATGACTAATTAGAAAATGCATAGCTTGTTAATCACTGAGCTTATGATCCTATAGCAAAAATAACATCCTGAGCTATAAATCTAGAATGGACAAAAGCATAGTCATTTGAGTCTAATTGAAGGTTCTGTGTAGCTTTGAACGAAGTGCTTATCTCAGTTTTGTCATCTGTAAAATGGGGAGAGTAATACCTTCCTTATAGAGTTAGTAAGATTAAATGAGATAATGTTGTTGGAATGGTTTACAAGTAAGTGCCTAGTCTTTTAAATAAGACTCATAAATGTTCACTTGGGAATGTTTAAATACCCAGGATATCTCATTTAAAATATATCATTTAAATAGCCATGGTTATTGGGGAATGAGGCATTCCATGTTTGCCGGTTTTTAACTGAAATTTGCCCATTCAGATATAATTGTATTCCATTAGCTTAGTAATTGTTTATGGTATTTCTAAACTGCATTTCAGAATCTAAATTGTGTTTTTAAAATGCATTATTTGACAATGACTTCTTAGAATAAGGTACTGGGCACAAATTACTCCGAGAATTCATGAAGATTCCGTAGGTCGTTGTGTGCCCTCTGCACACGAAGCACAGTTGCTGCATCTTTCTGTCTCTTGCTGTCACTGTGGACATCAGTTTATCAGCATTTACTGATGTGTCTAAAGCACGGTGGTGAAGTCGAGGAAAAAGAGTGAAATACGGTTAGAGCTTTCTGGTGATTTTCTTTTTTTTTCAAAATTACCTTTTATAACCAAGAGGTTCATTTTTGAAGGTTAGGGAACCAGAAAACTGACTGTACAGTTGAGCTTTAAATAACATGGATTCGAGCTGCACTTGTCCACTTATACATGGATTTTTTTTCAATAAATAACGTACTAGAGTACCACATGATCCAGACCATAAAATTTATATGCAGATATTTGGCTGTGGGGAGAGTCAGCATTCCTAAACCCCTCATTGTTCAAGGGTCAACTGTGTATTAGGAATTGAGGCTAAGAATTTAAGCTTGCCTTAAATGTGAGCTTGACTATCACTTCTGGTGTCCATCTCAGTTTGGGATTTTTTCCCCCTGTTCATTTTGTGTTATATAGTTTATGTGGGCTTTCTTTTTAAACCAATTTCATTGAATTATAATTTACATACAATAATA